TCGGTCGGGAGCTAGCATGCTAGAGCTAGCTCCTGGCTATTGTTTGGGCTCAGTCAGTGTAAACTGATCCGAGTATATTTTATCACCTTGAAGCATTTGAACTGAAAATACTTTGAATTTTAAAACACTATCCATTGTATGTTAAAATGAAATGAATGAGTTCTCGCATGAGTTTAATTGTTACAATATAAACTTATTCACTATAGTGATAAAAAGAGAAGCATGGACATGTATGTTTTTTTTTTTAAATTGATAAAACCCATTGTTGATCAATCAGGCCTGTTTTTACACGGGCCAGGTTCCCGTTCCAGATCCCGTTTCCAGATCCAGTTTCAGTTCCAGATCCAGGATTCTGGTTGTTGCCAAGTGGACCAGACTGGTGAGTTAACCCACACAGCAAATCAAGAGGACATCACATCCTGCCAGCTCCTCCCCATCTGGTAGGAGACAGTCAAGCTACAGCCAAACATTCATTTTCACTCTGGTGAAGATGAATGCATCGAACTGAATCGGATCCTTTTTTCATCATTTCTCTCCTCTCCACCAAGGAGATGAACTGGTTAAATTCCTTGGATAAAAGGAAAAACATATTGTATTTCATGAATTATTTTAAACAACTTGTCTGTATATATTGTAAATATCAATAAGTTTCACTAGTTTTGCACCATTTTGTTGTCAGTGTGATTTTACAAATTGTCACTCCCTCCAGCAGTCGAACCCAAGAATTTTTCTGATTTCATTAACTCACTCATTAGTCATTTTAATATAAATATATTTTGCACTTAGTTATAACAGGGAGAGCAGTTGGATATGGACAGACATCTTCTTTGTTTTCTCACATGGACTGACATTCAATGTTGCATTTAGGAAGAATTTCCTATTAAAGTAATTAGATTTTATTGAGGTAAATTTCTGCCTGCAGACTTTAGCCAATTATTTTTTTTGCTTTCATGGAGTTGTGAGGACTGGAAGGTTTTCCAAACCTGTTTTATTAAACCTGAATAGGTTGTTACTGTTCAGGTTGCAGAGAGAATTTAACTCTTTACATTCATGAAAGAGTTTTTTGTTCTTTTTCTGTTTTAAAGACTGTATTTCAGTTGAGCTGAAAGTTCAACTGAAATATTTCTACATTATGGCTATTTTTTAGTTATAGCTGCTCTTGCTGATCTCTCCATTTTTTCTTTTTAATCCTTAGTTGGTTTTATATTAGTAATCTAGTCTAGCTCACTGTATTATGGCACACAGCATAATATAGTCTCATGTTTATATAACAAATTAAGACACTTAAAATCTGCTGCTTCTGTCTCGTGTTTAGCAGCCACCTATAGTTATCTGAGTTATTGTCGTGAGTTCCTCAAAGTATAACAGAAGGAGCGTCTAACAGTTATGCGTAATGCAAAACCAGAACTGTAAAAACTTCCTATGTATTCTTCTATTTTCTTGGTGTCACAGTGAGGCTGTCTGAGTTACGGCTTGGTTCAGAGCCTTTTTCTTCTTGTTTATGTGAGGAGGGAGAGCCTCTGCTGCTTAAAACCTCAAGGCCTGATTTGAGATTCAAAACAGTTAAAAAAAAAAAAAAAAACATCAGCAAGTTGATGTAGTTTAGACTCTTTTTTTGGGTTTCAGACTTGGATAATCTCCCCTTAGTTGCTGTTTTTGCGTGTGACCCAACTAACCAACCTTTGAAAATTTTCTACAATATGTTCATCTATGTGTCGGAGACAGCAGGTCTCCTGTATGTTTCACCCCTGACAGGTGTATGTCGGCACCAACTGTTCAAAGTGTTCAGTTTGCTCTGTCTCATCGTTTTAGCTAGATTTATTGTTCATGATCTTTTTCCTTTTTTTTATTTTTCCATTACTAAGCAGCGCTGCTGGTTGCTGGCAGAGTAATGATTATCAGATTCATTCATGCTCAGACCTGGTTTCATAAGGCCACCATTGTGGGTTCCTTCTCGTTTTCTGAACGCACAGTTCTGGCCGACCCGGACGGGTGACATTCTATGTTCCAAGCTCCTACTAAGAGAATCACTCCTGAATGGGTCACTTCTGACCCATTTAGCAGGGTATGTAGCTACCCACTAAGACACCAGAACCACATTCACTCCACCAGAGAATTTGCTAGCACCACGATGTTGGCCAGAGCCGTCCACCTCAGCAACTCAGTCTCTTTCACATGCTATGGTACAACAAGACAGGCAAAAATATAAACAATAGCAATAAAAAGGGAAGTAAATGAGGGAAGAAACAAGGAAAAGAGAAATAGTATGGTATAAGATATAAATAAGTATATAATAAAAGAAAAAAAAAAACACCCGTGCACAATACCTTTGATTTTGACCCAAAACTACCAAATTTATCCAGGGACGACCAGGAGGGGGCTGTTTTTTGCATAGGGGGATATTGGCCCTTTCCAGAGTTCCAACCAACCCCGAGCCCAAAGGCCTAAACCACAATGTCCTACTGACAATGTGCACCAACTGTGGGTCCTCATTTATCCTTTATCTCGTCAAAAACTCCATTTCCTGTGCGCAATGCTATTTTATTCTCCATTTAGATCCAAAAACGACAGACTTTTTCTAAATTTCACCAGGGTACGACCCGTCAAACAGGAGGGGGCTATTTTTTGTGAATTGATCAGTTTCTGTCCGGAGTTTCAACCTAAAACAACCTAATTAATTGAAACATGGATCCTTGAAAATGCTTTTGCCAATACATTTTATTATATTTCTCCAAAACAATTTGACTAAGTGAATGTCCCCCTGCATATGGTCACAAATTTAGAGGCCAGAAACAGGTAAACAACTGTTGAGCTTTGCAGTCAGACGTTTTGAAAACAAACTGCCAGCAGAAAAATGTTCTGCCTACCTTCTTAGTTGAGCACACACCGAAAATCTCCATTTTTGGTCATCATGGTCTGGGATCTTCCTACAGGATGGGTTCTGGTCTCAGGAACCCAAAAACCGGTTTGGACGAGCCCCCACTTTGTCGGCGTTCTTTCATTTTCGTCTCTGTGCTCCACCAGGTCCGTTTACCAGTTTCAGGACCCGACCAGAACCCCTGAGTGTAAATTACCTTGAGAAATAACCTCCCTAAAGGGTAGTCTAATCAGTTTCAGTCTGTTTATGTATGACTGCCGGCAGACACACATAAACATGGTTATGTAAACTGCAGCGTGTGCATGTAAGCAGTTAAAAGAGGCTAAAAGAGATGGAGGAAAAGACAGAACCTACAACAAAGGAATAGAAAACTATCAAAAATGCGCCTAAAATAACAATTTTCTCTAGTTGTTGCGGGAGTTCAGCCAGACACATCCTACTCCGTCGTTTGCTTCACCGGAAGACCACAATTTGTTTAATAGTAAAGAGGGTTAGATAATAAAATGTACAATATCTTTTCTTTTCCTTTTTTTATTTGAAGGAAAATCTCAAGGTATAATGCATACAGCCGTACAGCTGCAAGTGCTGCTGCAATAATCCATATGTGGGGGATCAGTTGCTGAGGACTTTGGATCAAGGAACCCCCCCCCCTTCCATTAAAATATGAGTCTATTCTCTGTTCCTATGAATGTTTTGTTTTATTAAAAAATACTGTTTCATTGTCCATGTTTAGCGGAATATTCACGTGTATGTTGGTAGCTATTCGGACTGAGAGTGAAACAAGTTTGGACAGTGATCAGTTTCTAACAGGCGCTTAGGGCAGCCTCGGGCAGGAAGGGTCCTAAGTTTCGAAGAAGAAGAAGAGAAGATGGCGAATGTAACCGCTATAGTGTAACGCACAGATCGATGAACGTGTTTTGTATAATCAGAAAAAATGGAAGTAAAGGAAATTTACAACCACTGCATGTCTCGACACCACTTTTGTTCGAATGTGCAACACTCTAAATGGGCCATTTAGAATCACACAGAAGAGCTCCAAAAGGGAATTAAACTTAAAACTCTGTGAACTAAGAACTTCTGATCACATAATAGCAATTAACCATATCTGCCATGGTAAATCATTACTGATAACTATTGTGAGTATTCCCTAACATTAATATGATCAGGCAGCATGTAATCAAATATACATATATGTATTATTGTTATAAAGGCTGAACCAAGAAAATTGATGTCTGTATCAAACAAGTAGCCCTTCGTGTTACTCTGTACCCGTGAAGTAGCTCCTTGTCTCAAAAAGGTTGGTGACCCCTGGTCTGGAGGTTCTCATCTCCATCTATCGGTGAGGTGCAGAGTACATCTTGATAGGCGAGCAGTTAATCACAGAAAAATACAAGACTAAAACACACAAATAGATGCACACACATTAAAAGGTAGCCTCCCATGTGAATCAATGAGTAATAAAACAGTTAATCAGTAAAGAAGTGGATATCCCCCTTGTTTGGCAAAACCAAACTTCCAAAAGAACAACTTATTACAAATGTGCCACTGGTATAATTGGGATGGAGGTAAAAGAGAAGAAGACAAAAGTTTTTCAAACATGATGTTTGGAACATGATTTATTAATACATTGCAGCAAGCAAAAGACAAAGACAAAAGCAAAGCTATAAAACAGAAAACAGGTTTGTGCTAAATAATAATATACTCAAATCAATGCATTCATCATTTTCTAAATGTGAAAAGTGAAAATGTGAAACTGAACATAAAACAAGTTGATCTAGCCATCCATCCATTTTCTTTACACCCTTGTCCCTTAGTGGGGTCGGGAGGGGTGCTGGTGCCTCTCCAGCTAACGTTCCGGGCGAGAGGCGGGGTCACCCTGGACAGGTCGCCAGTCTGTCGCAGGGCAACACAGAGACACACTCACACCTAGGGGCAATTTGGAGAGGCCAATTAACCTAACAGTCATGTTTTTGGACTGTGGGAGGAAACCGGAGTACCCGGAGAAAACCTGTGCATGCACAGGGAGAACATGCAAACTCCATGCAGAAAGACTGGGGCCGGGAATCGAACCCAGAACCTTCTTGCTGCAAGGCAACAGCTCTACCAACTGCGCCACCAAAACAAGCTGATATTAATTACAAATAAGATAAAAGCACCATGGCCTATAATGTAAAAGAGCCTCCAAACATTTCTTCCTTTTTAACTGTAAACAGCTGCAGTGATATTATAAATGTTTTAGAAGTTGTTGAACTCAAACTTAAGTGACCTTTTCTCTCCAGTACTCAGGTCAGTCCCTGTAGCTGTTATCTCTGTGGAGCCAAACTTTAGTTCCACTTTCACTTTTCGTTCTTTGTTTCTTTCAGGATCACAGAGTTTAACTGTAAATGAACCTACTTCTTCCACCCCCCAATCATCTACATATCTTGGGTTTTTTCTTTCAGTCTTAAACAATCTAACACTCATCTCTTTCTGTTGTGGATCTACTGCATTAAGGAGATGCTCTCTGGTTTCATCCCAGCCCACATCTTCACCTTCTTCTAGCAGTATTTTAAAAATGTCCTGACACCACTCCTTTCCATCAGCTGTGAGTTTCTTCTCTTGTTTATGTTCAAACTCATCAAACCGTCTTAACACGGCCACCCCATAAGTGAAGCGAGTTTTCCGAGATGCCACTATCTTTGGGTTTCTTCCAAACTCTACAGCTCCTTTTAAGATCACTTCCTGAGGTCTAACAGGACACAGGATTTTATATTCTTCTCCAAACTCTTTATTAATGTGCTGCCGCAGTATTTGACTTTCTGCGAACCCCCCCACTAAGAGAATGTAACGAATGTCAAGATCTTCTTTTAATATTTCTCTGAGACTCTGAGTGATGCCCTGAAGACTCTCATCAAAGAAAGATCTTAGTTTCTTTTTAGATATTTTAATGACTCCTTCATTCCACGAAGCTCCTTCTATTGACTCAAAGAACGTTTCTATGTCTTTCTTTTTCTGAGCCAGTTTTCCCAGATTAAATGAACATGTGATCTGAATATCCTCATCTACCTTTTTGAGACAAGTAAAATCATACATCATCTTCTGAACCTCACTGGGATATTTTTCCTCATATTCATCCCAGACTCCATCAGTGAATATTTCTCTGAGGAACTTTTTAAACTTTCTGTCCACAGTTTGTCCTCCCATGTTGTTTCCAGAGGCCTTGTGCAGCTCCTTCAGGGCTCCTCCACCCAGGACTTTATGAACAGTGATGTCAATGGTTCCTCCTGAAACCCACAAGATGTGATAAAACTTTCCATATACTGTAGATCACTTGTTATAGTCTTCCACAACAATACTGTTACTATGAAAAGATTTACTATAGACTCCATCATATTTATAGTCAGTTACCTCCACAATCAACAATGATGTACTGAGTTCCTGGAGTCTGATCCAGAGAGTCTCTGCTGTGGTTCTTTGTGATGAAACCATCAGCTGGAAGCTTCTTACACCAGACTGAAGCAGCTTCTGGTTCCAGTGCGATCACCAGTTTGTCTTCATCTCCTTCAGTTATAATTCCTGCCTGGAAAATTAATATAATATAATCAATGCTGAACATTTCAGAACTTCGTTGGTCTCTGAATCCTGAAGTTACCTGAGTTGCAGCTTCTCTCATGAACTGTTTAGCTGAAGGATTCCAGATGGCAGGAACAGTCAGGACCCAGGTGAAGTCAGAGGCTTTGAACGGTACACCTGATGTGGTGGAACCGATTGTTCTCAGTGCGTCATCCTTCAGGAATCTCAGGGATTCAGTGAAAACCTTCAGAGCCGTCATTTCCTTATTGTTTGTTGCTTTAATCTTAAGGTCCTTGTTAAGATCCTATAAGATCACAATTATATGAAAAATATTGATTAAACATGTATAAAATGGAGTTCTTTTCTACGTCATTGAAAATAACATAAAATCATCCAATGCAGTATTTTGGGGAACTTTTTCAGTGGTATTGTAACATTTTTATAAAGCTTTAGTGGTTTATTACTTTACATATATTATTGTACTGTAATGAAGCTATAACCCAAAATCTAACAAACACACTGGTTTCATTTCCTGGTTTGTTAGTTAGGCAGATTTTCCACAGATATTTTTTTTTATAATATTACTTTTATGATAAAATTTTGGTTTTACATTGGGAACTATTTTGTGACACCAATATCAAAATTACTTTAAGTTGTAATTTCCAGCAACAAAAATAGTTTCAGCTCAACTTCTCTGCTAACAATTAACAGCAAGTTATGTAATTTTATAAATTGTGTTTTTTGCGATTATACTCAAGTCACAATAAGCTTTGATTTTAGTTTGTGTGGAAAAGTCAGGAGTTAAGACCTTCCTTAATGTACTAAACTAAAGAAGATTTTAATTTAGTAAGACCTTCCTAAATTAAGGTCTTACTTGTCCACCAGATGTATAAATAAAGGTATGATATACAGTTGTACATTATACCTTTATTCATTTAGGACCTACACAGACATTTACCCAATGTTTGTTGCTCAATAACTCTGAACAGAAATAATATAGCCATTAAAACTAAATATTTAAATCTTTACTTACTTTACCATACAGGGCCATTTTGAATTCTCCAAAGAAATAATGTCTCTTTGCTTCCTCTCCTCTCATGTTGATGTATGCTGCTTTGGCTTCATAACCAAAGCTCAGAAATTTTCCATTTTCATCAAACAGGATGCAGGTTGGAGTCTTTGGGGTGTCCAGTCCTTGTCCTGCTCCCCATCTCTTTAATTTGGGATCACTTTCTTCCTCTGTTGTAGTGATACTGAAGGCATATCCACTGTAAGTGGTACCAAAGTCTATGGCTATAACATAGGAGTCACCCATTGTAGAATCATGTTCTGCAAGTCAGGATGAAACCAGAATACTAGTGGGAGCACAAACAGCTTGTTTTTCCTGTCAGCTCCACCTACCTGCTGTTTATCTGCTCAGACTGGAAAGGTTGGTTTCACATGTAGAGATTTCAGTCTAAAGAGATTTATATACTCAAATTAATGTCTGACATTTATTTTTACTGAGCATAGAATTGTGTATAAATATCACATAACGACTTGTGATATTGTGAGACTGTTGTTTAGAGATCAGACATCATTAAGGTTCCTCAGTGGAAACAAAACTCTCCGTGTCGATACAGTGGGCGGTGTGGACATTCTGTCTGTTTCACAAAAGCTGTGGATGCTTTTCTGCTTGTTTTTCCTTGTTTATTGCACTTCAGACTATCTTCCTTCTGTTGTCTCCTCTTTGTGATGGGGTGTGAAGTTTAAAACTCCTCCCCAAGGGATCATGATACAACAAAAGAGATCAGTTTATTTCTGTTTTCTGTGTTAGATCTGGATTTTGGCTATTCTGACTTGGGCTGCTTGCAGGTTCAAATTATCAAATTGTGTAACTTGATCCTGAGTAGCCATTGCCTCAACAATGGCTGCTCTTCCTAGAATCCACATCATAAAAACATAATTTACATAATTTATGACAAAAACAGCTATACAACTTTAGTAATGCAGCATGTTAATTCATTCATGGATGTACAATTGCATCTATAAATGTATAATTATAGCACTTAATGTGATAAAATAATTTAACAAAGTTCTTTTAAATGTTCTAGCATTTGTTACTTTAAAAAAAAAAGATGATCAAAAGGTTTTTGTCACCTGCTGCTGGGCCTCTCCTGTTTAGGTGGAGTAATTCAGCAGGTCTGGTATGTATAAGCTGTTATTTCTTTTGTACTAGTTTTTGAATTTATAGGGTCAATATTTGGTAAAATCGACTTCATTGAGTTTTCCATCATGTTATAATGATATTTCATCACCCAAAACATACCTGAAGTGTTGATTTCATGTTTGAGAAATCCTTTAATCTCCATGGCAACCATTCAGCTGTGCAAAATGCCTGAATGAATCTAGAAACACCTTTGAGGTGTAGCGCCTCCTTAGAGTTAGTTTCCAAGTTTCCACCTCACAGAGCAATCCTCCCCTGCGACTCCCACATTCAGCTCCTTCAGACTAGTCAGCAGATATTAGCAAACATCTGGTGGAGCTGTGCATCTGCTGAGCTCATTATAGGAGCTACTTCACATTGAAATGCTGGTAAAAACGTTAAAGTGTTAATAGAGGAGCCATGTGGTGATGATGTCCTGAAGGCGGAGTTTCAGAAAGAGCAGGAGATTTTAAAGAGACAGAGACCCAATTTAAAGGCACTAAATTAGGAAGTACATTTTCTTTTAAGCATTATTTACTATATAAAGCCTTTTTATAACAATTGAAGCTAACAGTTACTTGATTGCACTATAACGCTGCACTATGTGCATTATGTGCATGGAAAACATAATAAACTACCATTTTATTAAGTGCAGATTTTCACTTTCAGATTGTGAAGGAACAAATGTTTCCAAATGACAAACTTTAGTGATATCATAATGGAAATTGTTGGAGCCAAATACAGTCAAGAACAGAGTCTGATTTAATAAAACAAAACTGACTAAACAAGGGCATAAATCCCCCAAAATCCAAGTTTAAACCTGAAACAAAAGGTAAGCAAAAAACCATAGATTGATGATAGACAAAAGATGAAGCACCATAGTTACATGAGATATATTCATAAATCAGCCATAATCTATCAGCCAAACACACAAGACATTTGTGTCTAATTTAGACACTGAAGCGACAATCCCCTTGTAAATGGTTATGTATGTGGCGATAATTGGGGAAATTATGGTTGCTGATTTTACAGAAGAGTTATGGATTCAACACACTGGAATGACACACAATGTTTTATGGACTGTGTGATGCTACGAGAGACCTGGTGGAGTTAAGCTGCACATAGTCAGAAAACAAACTAAAACAAACCATCATCCTCTTACTACTTACTCCTATTGTTTTCTTTGTCATTTTCACCAGTAGTAACAGCCGATTGTTGATCACATGACTTGTGCGATGAGAAGAAAGTGTTTCAATAGAGCTGAAAATCAATCTCCTAGTGCAAAAACGTTTTACAGAAAAACATGTTTTTTCAAAATTGTCTTTCCATCAAGCTAATTTATTTTCTTAATTTCAATTTCCACAATTTTTTGTTTAATGGATGCACAACTAATTATTGACAATCAAAGTGAAATACATACTACAGAAATTGCATGTAGTCAGAACAACTGAGAGGGAAAACCAGAGAACAGAATCAAGACATTTCCTCATCATCTCCATCTTCAGTTACATCAAACAATTGGGTTTTGTAAAACTTTTATTGGTTAATTATAACAATCATGTACAAATAATGTATTTTAAACCTGTTTTATAGATCACTTTGGTCAAATTAACATAAATCCAATCTTAACATGTCACATCAAGTTTAAAAAGAAGTTCAAGCATCAGTTATGCCCAGACATACAAACGGTTTAGCCACTAAAGAGTGATACATAAATCAACTGAAAGTTTTATGAGGCTGTAGCTACTTTTAACATAAATCTAAGTCTTAATTATATGCAATAGTTCTCCAGCAGAAAACAGTAACTGTACAGATTGTATTGTTTGAACAATTTTCAGCAGCAGATGGTTGTTAATTCTGACAAAATGCCTCTTATTTCCTTAATTTGATCAAATCCAATGACACATGCATCTGTGTTAAGTGTGTTAATGAAGAGGCTGACCAAAAAAAACCTTCTGCTGTTTTCCCAAATGCTGAAGACGGTTACCAGAAAATATGGTGAAAGTAGAGTAAGAAAATAATTTTTCACTCTTTAAATTTTTCACAAAAGAAATTGAACCAAGCTGGACGTTTCCTCTGAGGCTCCACCATCTCTGGGTTTCTCCCCAGCTCTACGGCTCCTTTCAGAATCGCTTCCTGGGGTCTAAGAGGACACAGGACTTTATACTGACGTCCAAACTGATCAGTGATGTGCTGACGTAGAATCTGGCTCTCAGCCAATCCTCCCACTAACACAATAAACCCAATGTTGAGATTTTTGGGTTTTTTTACTATTTCTCTGAGACTCTCAGTGATTCCCTGCAGACTCTCATCATAGAAAGATCTCAGTTTCTCTCTGGAGATTCTGATAGATCCATCATCCCAGGAAGCTCCTTCCACTGAATCAAAGAAAGTTTCAATATCTTTCTGTTTCTCAGCCAACATCCCCAGGTTAAATGGGCAACGGATCTGAATATCTTTATCTAAATGTTTCAGAGAAATAAAATCATACATCATTTTCTGAACCTCGCTGGGGAAACCTTGTTCATATTCATCCCAGACTCCATTAGAGAAAATTTCTTTAAGAAACAATTTAAATTTTCTGTCCACAGTTTGTCCTCCCAGGTGGTTCTTAGGGGCCTCAAAAAGCTTCTTCAGGGATCCTCCCTCCAGAACTTTGTGAACAGTGAAGTCAATTGTTTCATCTGTTTAAAGACAGTAAGAAAATTGATTAATGGATAAATCTAAATAAAAAAGGATTTACACATTCAACACTCAAAAAATAACATTGATAAAAGTCTTGGTATTTTTTCTGTCAATGAAAGGTTTCTTAGGTTTGTCTCCTGTAAAATTAATCAACCTTGTCTTCCTTGTTTTGAAAACTCAAAAAGAGGAAGACAGAGGAAGCAAGTTGCTTCCTCTGAGATCCACAGTGCATCCAGAAAGTATTCACACTTTTCACATTTTGTTGTTAACAGCTTCATTCAAAACTGTATTAACTTCATTCCCCAAAACTATATGCACAAATAACCCATTATGGCAATGAGGAAAAAGGCTTTTAAGATCATTGGAAACTTACCAAAATAGAAAACTCAGAAATCACATTTACATCAGTATCACAAACTTTTCTTAATACCTTGTTGATCCACCTTTGGCAGCAGTTACAGCCTCTCCATATCTTCATATATCTACATATGTACCTATGTATCTATATATCTACATATATATCTATGTATAGATATAAACCGCATATGATTTATAGATATAGATACATTTATAGATATAGATGTATATAAGGTAAAGGGTAAATGGATTGAACTTATATTGCTTTTTCATCCATTTTGACCTCTCAAAGCGTTTTACACTAGAGTCACATTCACCCATTTGTATTTATACACTGATGCACAGATTGGTAGGCAACATGGAGTTAAGGGCCTTAACCAGGGGCACATTGACATGTGACATGAGGAATTTGAAATCAAACCTACAACCTTCCTATCACAAGACAACTACTCTACCCATAGAGCCACAGACTCAAATTCAGGGCCATATAATACAGTTAAAAAATCAGTTTTCTATATCCTGAAGAACATTTCTGGAATTAAAGAACTAATGTCTCAGCATGATCTCGAAGATGTCACTTTATGATCCATTTTTATCTTTAGTTGCACTGATCACTGCAACAGCATCTTCACAGGTCTGCCTAAAAAAATCAATCCTCCAGATGCAGCTGATCCAGAACGCTGCTGCTCACTTTCTGACTAAAACCAGTAAGTTGGAGCACATCACACCAGTTTTAAAATCCCTACTCTGGCTCCCTGTAGCTCAGAGAATAGACTTTAAAATACTGTTTATAAATCATTGATCAGTTTAGCACCACAATAAATTAAAGATCTGCTGTTGTATCAACCTTCCAGACCTCTCAGGTCTTCTGGTTCTGCTCTGCATCCCCAGAACAGCATTTAGCTGTGGAGAATCAGTATTCAGCTTCCACGTGTAGTGGGTTGAAAAATACTAAAAAAAAAAAAAAAAAAAAAAAACAAAATAATAATAATAATAATAATAATAATAATAATAACCCCTATTTTTGAACTGGTCTTGGTTTCTGTCTTTGTTTCTTTCTGCTTTTTTTCTCATACATATGTGTTGTGTGCATGCAGCTTCTTGCCAGTGGGGGCGCTCTCGTGCCACTGTGGGTGTAACAGGGAGAACGGGTTTTCTGACTCTGGGCATGCGCAGCTCAGAATAAACGAGCTCTTACTGGAGTAACATTATAGCAACTTGCTTCCTCTGAGATCCACAGGTCTGAAAAAAGACAACCCTGATGAGCCCATAAAATACTGGTTTAAAATGTATATTAAGATTTGTAGTGTTTCATATAATTTATATGTGTAATTTGGACAGTTTTATACTAACCTTTGATCTGTAGATAGCTTGCTTTATGTTCTTGGATCCTTTGTAATTTTGGATTTATTTAAATAACTTAATCAGTCACTATTATATTTGTATTTGGGCACTATTGCCATATTGGTATTTGGTAATATTTGGTGCAGTATTTTCTTTCTCATAAATGTGTATTTTTTGTGATAAGCTTAATCTCCTCTATAACTGCTGTGACAGTTGTAACAGTCAAACATTGTTTACTGTGTATTTGTAGATGTAATGTTTTTCTCAGTTTGGTTATGTTAACTTAGGATCAGATTTTCTTCATGTTTTCCTTCTTTGTAAGGACTCCAGATGTTGTTAATTGAATTTAAATTGTATTATAATTATATTTTTTCTCTTTTCTTTAATTGAAAATGTGTGGCTATTATTTTATTTGTGCATTTTATTTTATTTTTTATTTTATTGTGAAGATTCCAGATGTTGTTACACAGGATTCTTCTCCCTGTGTGACACTTGATGCTGGCTCAGATTCCCCTGGATCTGGTGCCGGTAACACATGCACCACAAATCTGGAACAAATTTCCAGAAAACTGCAACAGAGCTAAATTAACATTATGATGTGTAACAATGACACTTGATCAAATGTAATGCTTTACTTGTTCACTCTCTATAACTGTATTTTTTGCTTTTTTATGAAGTAAAGCTCTTTGAACTGCCTTGTTGCTGAAATGTTCTATACAAATAAACTTGTTTGATTGATTGACTGATTGATTAAAAAACATCTAATCACAGTGTGATCACGCTCTAACAGAGATTTCTGGAGAGTATTTGCTCTCCAACAGGCTCCCCAGAAAAAAGGACAAACCATTTCTGACACTTTCTTTGTGTCAGGTTTCAGCAAAACGACAGGACAAACTCAGGATTTGCTCAAACAATCTTGGTTCTGAACAGGGTTGGTCCTTGGACTAAGTTGCGGTTGTAAGTTGACTCAGGATAACAGCTATCTGGCTTTCTGAAGCCGAAAGCCCAGGTTATGCACAGAGTTACCCCAGGACTTACTCAGGATTTTCATTTATCCTGCTTTTTGAAACGCGGTCCTGTTGGTTCCAAACTTCTAAAATTCAATTATTTGTAAAGCACATTTCAGCAACAAGGCAGTTCAAAGTGTTTTACATCATAAAAACACAATACAGTCATACAAGACACCACACAATGTAAAGATGCCATCATGACAAATCAAAATGTTGGTTAGTGTTTAACTTGTCAAATGTTTGAATAATCATGAGTGACATACTTACCTCCACAGTCGACAACAACATATACTTCTCCGTTTCTGTCTTGGTGGTTAAGCAGGTCTATGGTTTCTTCTTGTTTCATCTCAATATCTACTGCCACCTGACTTCTTGGTGGGCCTGTAGAAACAAAGAATCTGCATCAGAAGCTCCATTAAACAACCAGATAACAGCTAATAGGCGTGTTAATCAGAAGCCTGTTAGCAACATGTTTTCTCCATTATTGCTGTTTTATATCAACTTCCTCAGTATCACCAAAAGTTTGCTAAAACATAATTTCTTCCAATTTCCCAGTTGAGCATTGCTTAAAGATTTTAGAGAGTTTGTACAAAGGGTAAGTTAATTAAAAATGACTTTTGGGTCACATTTTTAGAGTGAAACTTTTCACCCTCACCAGATCTGTAAAAAGAAATTTTGGCAGGACAAAATCTATGGGCCAGCATAGTGAGATGTTCGGATATTTTGTCATTTCTTTCCAGTACAATCGACAAAACACATATCTTCCTAGTTTTGTTGCAATTATGCCATAATATTTAGCTGCAGAGTCTACAGCGCATGCGGGACACTTTCAGGTCATTGGCCCGTTCAGACTGCAGAACACATATAGGTCGCATTATATGTTGCAGCCCGGCAAAGACAATCCAATTTGACAAAAATCGGAATTGCGTCACTTCAGGCTGCAGCGTGAATGCACCCTAAATTTTTTCACACCCTCATCATGTCTTTGTCAAAGCCAAAGCCTGCAGTTCATGTTTTGGAGAAATAATTAAATGTTGATGACTTTTGAGGATATTTTTAAATGTTTTTTGTGGAATCCTTTATGCGGCCCAGCCGCACCCAGACGCTGCCTCCAGCGGCTCCCAGGTAAATTGAGTTTGAGACCCCTGGTTTAGACATTTGCAGAGGTGCCTGATTATAGTGCATCTGCTATAATCAGGTTTAGCAGAGATATACCTTAATAGAGGTATGCCTCTAAAAATGTGGCAGGTATAGAGTGAGAGTCATTACTGTCCATTATTTGCAATAATATTTATATCATATTAATATAAATGAGTAGATAGTGAATGTATTCACTTGATAACGTAGCTAATAGAAAACTAGTTTAGATCACATTACTGCGTTTTTTTTTCTGCATTTCACTCACCGATGACTTACGATATATATTTGTTAGGGTTACATCCTAGTGAGGTTTTCACATCCTTTTATTTTAGTTCTCTTTATTTTGTGTGCGTGTTAGCTTATTGTTTGGGTGAGGATAGGTTCAGTTTCATGGTTTATGTTTAAACAATAAAATATTAAAATCACAAAAACACATCGGGTTTGATGGTTCTTAGTCTAAAAAACACTGAATGTCGTCAAATTTCAGAGTATTTATGTGAGTTTTGACACTTTGTAGTTTGATTTTGTTCACAGAAAAAAGTTTGCGTTGCTGCCGCAGTTTCATGCCAGCGAAAAAGTGTGCGTATATTTACGCAAACCTTGACGCAAAGTTAATTTTTCTACATCCTGACTTGTGCATAAAATAACATTTTTTGTGTGTACACAAGCTTTATGCATGAGGCCACTGATGGCAGTTTTAGCTGCTAAGTGTGACACAACCAGTGATTTGGCAATTAAAATGATTATTTGTATTTACTAAGGTTATATTTAACTGATCAAATTCTTTTGATGGTCTAAAACATTTCAGAACCAACATAAAACAAATACAAGTATATTGGTATTGTTTATCAATCAGATTAGTTCAAACAGATCATTTAAAGCAGGGGGGCCAAAGGGCCGACAGCCTGCATGTTTTAGTTCTCTCCCTGCTTCAGCACACCTGCATCGAATGATGGCTCATTAGAAGGTCTAAGAAGAACATTGACATGCTGAAGAGGTTGTTACTACCACCATGGAGAGAACTAAAACATGCAGGATGCTGACCCAAGAGGACCCACTTTGGACACCCCTGATGTAAAGGATCCAGTCATTCCTTGTCCTATAAACAGACTAAAACCTGTTAAATGTTCAATGTTTGTATGCCAGAGGTTGTAGATTCACACAGTACCGTTACAGCTGGTATCAGGTTCTGCTGCTCCTGCAGGCTGATCCTGTGAGTTTCTGCTGTGGTTCTGTGTGATGAAACCATCAGGTTGAAGCTTCAAACTCCAGGTCAAAGCTGCTTCTGACTCCAAAACAAACATCAGTTTGCCTTTTGTTCCTTTTGTTACAAGACCAGCCTGGAGAACAAATTAAAAGTCTCATTGTTCTGAACATTTCAGAGTTAAGCTGCTCTCTGAAATTATAATATTACCTTGGTTGCAGAATCTCTCATAAACAGTTTAGCTGGATGACCCCAGTTGGTAGGAACAGTTAGGACCCAGGTGAAGTCAGAGGCCTTAAACTCGCCCTCTTTGGCCTGGGCTTTGATGGTTTCCAGAGCGTCATTCTTCAGATATCCAAGAACTTCTGTGAAGACCTTGAAGACCTTAATGGACTTATCATTGGCTGCTTTGATTGTCTGATTCCTGAGGTCCTGGAAATATGTTGTAGTAGTTAGATTGTATTTACACACAGATTTTGTTGTCAGATTTAAAGTAGACTACACTGGCAGCCCTATATAGAACTATACACCTATAAAGATCTTCAAAGCCACTTAAACTCTTGTTCCTACAATCTGGTTAGATCTGGTAATTTTCTCTTTACTTCACAAATAATACTTTTTGTTGGTTTAGCATATACAATCCCACTAACACACAGAGGAACTTTTGAGTGTAAAATATAATTGTTTGGGCCCCCCAGTGCAGCTGCGGTTACAATTTTTTCAGTCTGTCTGACCCATAGAAAGCGTCACAATTTTAAAGGCTTGCATCTGCCTTGCTTTCTTTGGTTCAATACTGATAATTAGCACAATATTTACTGCTNTTAAACATGCATCTGCAGAATTCCACTCGCTGCTCAGGGGGTAACTTACTAAGCAGGCGAGCAACATGTGAGCCACAGTATAGCTCCACCTCTCCCTCAGGACTGAGCGTCTTCAGCATGCCAACCAGTGACTGAATCTGGAGAGAGAGTGAAGGTAGGCTTCAGCTACCAATCTGGCATCCTCCAACTTTAGACAGTCCACTAAAACTTGATATTTGAAAACCTCTGGACTGTCAGGTGGTAGTAAGTTCTCCAGAGCCATCTTCAGGTGTGCAAACTCACCAGGGTCTCTGTGAAATTGGTTAGGGATGGTTGAACGAGGACCATGATAGGCTGTATCCGAGCTGAAACTCTGATAGGGTGGCCCAGGATTTGGAGAGGTTGCTTGGAGGGCACGAGGAGCCTGCGGAAGAGGTGCTTGCTGTATTGGTTGCTGAGGGGGAGCAGCCTGAATGCTCATAGGCCTGTAATTGGTTGTGGAGCTAAATCTCGGAGTGGGAGTAGCTGAAGGATGTGCTGATGTGTACTGCAGTGGGTTTACTAGAGGAACCTGACTGCTGGTTTGATAGTTGTTCCTTGTCTGTTGATAACCTGAGGCCATTTGTATTGCTGGTTGAGCTGATGACTGACTGTGTTTGGTTAGCAGAGCCTCCCCTTTCAAAATCTGAAGCTCACTCATCATTTTGTCCAGGGGTTCCAGGATCAGTGTTTCTTCCTCATCCTCAGTCAGTCAAGCAGGTGGTGGTGGCGGTGGCCACTCCTCATCCTCATTATTGACAGTTGGGTCAGAAGGCTGGAAGCATGCTGCTCCTTTAAGCTGTTCTTGCTGAGCCTCATGGGCAACACTCATTATCCGTAACATGTCGGTCTGTATAGCTCTTAAATGTGCCAGGTCTGCTGAAATGCGCTGCTGTGACTGCTGAAGGAGTAATCTTTCATGCTGGAGCTCTTCTAACTCTGATCTTAGAGCCATAGCTTCATTCGAGGTGGGAGGTAAGGTACTGTGGGGGGTAGGATGTCTCCATAACCTTGCCGGCCTTCCCTCAAGGACTAGCGATTGGACTGCTCCTCTTTGAACCGTAGCAGACTCCCTCCTGCATAATGTGTGATAGGTTCGCTGAGAATCGATGCCTCAGCAGCTGTTGGGGAAGCATATGACAAGGTGAGGGGGTCTTCTCGGCCAGTCCATCCTGTGTAGCCATCCTTCCTCTATCCACTTTGTGTTGGTAAGAGTTGAGACCATTGAAATCGAGCTCATAATCTTCATAACGTTGTGGGAGACAAATCTGATGTTTAGGACGTGCACCACTTCTGAAGTCCTGATTTTCATCCGTCTTTACTAGGGTAAGGCAGTGAATCCAACTTGAAGGACCATTAATGTAGGTGAGTTTGCTCTAAAGTTGAAGGACTGTTAGGCACTGTTCAGATTTGTCACTGCTCTCAACCTGGAATGTTGACCAGAACACCACTTAGACCAGGATTCAGCTCAGTACCAGAAGTTAGGATGAGGTGCAGCAGATGTTTAATGAAGAGACAAGGCAAGATCCTTTTAACTGTTCTGTATTCCAAACTGTTTGGAAATTTTAAGGAAACTGCCATAATGCCAGTTATATTAATTACTGCAAAGGGTATACTTTTTCATTTGATTTTTTTTTTTACCATTTTTATAACAAAATGTATACATACATAAAATTTTTAAAAGTAATTCTTGTTTGAAGTAATTTTGAATCTAAACCTTCCAAGGCAGAAATAAGTTTGTGCTTAAGTGTATACATAGTTATGAAACAAAGAAGCAAAAAATACAGGAGAGAGCCAAACAGACAAAACTCACCCTTCTCATTTCTGACAGAGCAACCACCTCTGATCCTACTGGAGTCATATATCCGGACATTGTCTGGAGCCAAAAAAGAGAGGGAGAGAGAGAAAAAGGACATTATTACGGAAAAACTAAACAAAAACAAGGAGTTTCACTTTATACATAAAAATGTTATTGCCCCAAAGACATTGTTTCTAGAAGACATCCTTATTAGAAATTTATCTCTCATGTCTATGAGAATCTTGGGTCAAATTTAGACTGTTACTGTGATCATAAATAATGGCAAATGGATTTGGAATGGCATATTGAGGACCACACTTTGGCATCAGTCTTAAAAAAATACTAACATGCATATACTGATATGCAATGTGCACAGAGAGACTCAATTTAAAATAATGTGGATCCTGTGCAGAATGTGCACAGGCTCCACATTATGGTAACACTGAGGGGGTAGGTTAGAGTTAGGTTCGTCGGCCTGTAATAAATGTAATTTAGGTTCGTCGGCCTGTAATAAATGTAATTTAGAGTTTGTAGTGTGCACGCATATGTTTTGAAAATGTGCAAAGATTGAGAAGTTTTGTTGTGATGTACAGGGTGAGGTAACCTCTGATTGGTTATGGCATAGAATTATGACCCCTTCACTACATTTTGGCAGATAAAATGGAACTTGGAACATACAGAACACCAAAAATGATAGGAATAAGTACATATGGTGCAAGGAAGGCCATCTGGCCATTCTTTATATTGCAACATACCCCAACAATTGACTGACTGGTATAAGGAGCATTTGAGAATTCTCCTACTGTAAAATCTAACTTACACACTATAGTATAACAGTGATGGATTAATAAAGATATGGAAACCACTCATAGACAGACTCAGGAGTGCAAATTATATAGAGGATGACGATGTGGTGCCTTTTATTTGGTGTGTTTTCTTCTTTATGCTTCTTGGTTATTGTTTGACCTGTTGTGTATTTACCTGTTCTGCTGAAATTGTTCATGTTATGACAAAAAAAAATCAGAAAGGGCATGGCTTGTCTATATTTGATTCAATTCAGTTTATTTACATAGCACCAATTCACAACAACCATCTCAAGGCACTTTACAAAAAATATATCAATTCAATAACACATACACTATATTACATACAGTATATTACCTGCCTTGACTCACATATGAGTTTAAGTGATATCCCATTCCTAATCCATAGGGTTTGATATGATGTTAATCCACCTTTTGCAGCTATAACAGCTTCAACTCTTCTGGGAAGCTCTGTGCACTGCTCCTGAGCTAATCTGAAGGCCACATGAAGTTTGGAGGTCAGTAGTGACCGACTCTGCAGTTGTTGACCTCTTTGCACTATGCTGACCCCGCTCTGTTAGTTTATGTGGCCTACCGCTTCATGGCTGAGTGGCTGTCATTACCAAACATTTCTGTTTTCTTAGAAAACCCAGCTGACAGTTGAAACTGGAATATTTAGGAG